GGCCAGCCCCATCCTCTCTCTAGCTGTGTGTACCTCAGTTTCCTCACCTGTGCAACGACAAAAATACTGGCTACAACACAGGATTGTGAGAAGACTGAATAAGGAAAAGACGAGAACACAAGATGTGAGCTCTAATGCCCTCTGCAGACATGTGCAGGATAGCTATAGTTGTTATATGTTGGTGGTATTTTTATCTTAATTGGTATCTCAGGGGCTGCTGTAGCAGACAGCAAGGGAGGGTTTAGAAGTATGTACAGAAGCCAGTCTGATACGTCTTCTTCATTGCCCCAGCCAGGGACATCACCTGAAACCAAGATAATGCCACATCCTCCTCCAGACACCCCTACCCTGCCCTCAGAGCCCAGGACCCTCAGCGGCAGGTGGGACTCAGCAAAAGGGCAGAAGGCCTTGCCCAGTCGCGAGGGAGGCAGCCTGGTGGGGCTTTTGGAGTTGGCCTGGCTGCACTGGAGACTGGAGTCTAGTAGCCTTGAGTCACTTAGACGCCGGGCCTCAGACTATTCGTCATAAAACAGAAAGGAAAACATCCACCTGGCAGAGTTGGGGCAAGGATTAGTAATAACTTACATGAAGTGTTCTGAAAGTGCCTTGCGAGTAGTGGGTGCTTGATACTTGGGAGCTAGTAGTTCGCTAATTCATTTAGCAATTCAGGAAACATTTCCCAGGAGTGAAGACCACCATGGAATGGAGAAGCCAGCTTCAAACTCTTTTTTGCTAAGGTGTCAATGACTGACAACAGCTTGTGATCCAATCCTGAAGGACTCATGCATTTAAAGGAGAGTACTAGGAGGCAGCAAAACCATGTCCCCAAAGAGTATGTCTGCAGGAGTGAAGTTTTAGGCCCTACAAGGTAAGGAAGACACACACACCAGAGCCTCTCCCTCACACTGCCCATGTATGAGAGGGAGCCATGTCTGGGAGCCCCAGATTTTTGGAAAGTCATTGCCAAGGTGAGCAGAGATTTCAGAACTTCTTTGGCAAGATACTGGTCTCCTTTTCAGGCAGCAACAGAGGCCCAGAAAAGGAAAGTAGTTTGACTGAAGTTCCAGAGGTTATGAGTTCAGAGCCTAGAGCACAGGAGACTTCAGGTAAAGCAGGATCTAGTTAGAACTGTAATAATAAGAAGAAATATGCGGTGCTAAGGGCTTATGGGCATATCTAACAACCCTATATTGTTTTTATTCCCAATTCACTGATGAGGAAACTAAGGTACAGAGAAGTTATGTAACTAACTTACAATCACACAGCAAGTCTGTGCTAGAGCCAGAATTAAACTCAGGCACTTAGACACTATACTGAAGAAAAAGTTCAGAAACTGAGGCTGGGCACAGTGGCTCACACCTGTGACCAAGCCAAGGTAGGAGGATCGCTTGAGCTTCACATTCAAGGTTACCGTGGACTAAGATTGGGCCATTGTACTCCAGCCTAGGCAACAGAGTGAAACCCTATCTCTTAAAAAAAAAAAAAAAAAAAACTGGAAGCCCAGAGCTACATCCAACCTTTAGACATATTTTATTTGCCCTTCAAAGTATTTATAACTCTTTTTGAGATTGCAACATTTAAAAAATTGGAATTTGATATGTAAATTCTGACTTTTATCTTCTCTTTAAAAATGAAAAGATAACACTAACCCAGCTTTCCCACGATGCGGCTGTCCGCTGGAGCCTCCCCGTTAGATGGGCCCCTGCGCTCCAGCCTGCTGCGGCCCCCACCACTCTGCAATGTTTCCACGTGGCCTGCTTCAGTCTCTCACCATATTTGCTTGGCCCCATGGACATTTGAGTTTGTGAGGCATGAGTGTGGCTCCTTGGGCTAGCAGGGGCAGAACTCCACTGCCCAAGCCTGCATCCTACAGACGTCACCCTCGGGCTCAGATAGGCGACGACCCACCCGAGGTCCCCAGTGGAAGCCTGCAGAGCAGGGACGAACAGCTCTCCTCTGACCGCTAACCTGCAGCAGGCTCGGTGGAAGAGGAGCCCCAGAAAGCCTAGCTGCGCTTGCTTTTGTCCATGCCAGCCTGGACATCCCCCTCACATGCCTGCATGGGGTAGGTGTGGCTGCAAAACTATGGCTATGCCAGAAAACGGAGGTGGGGAGTACCTAGGGAAGGGGCTCTCCCACACCCTCCCAGAAGAACCAAAACCCACCCAAAGAGTGGACCCTGGCATGACCTCTGCCCTGTGCTGCCCCTTTGCCCAGCAGGCCATCTGGCAGCTCCCACCAGCACCTCTCCTAGCTGCCACTTGTTTCTCCGGGGGCTCAGGCGGAATTCAGCTCCAGCATATGCTCGGGGGCTGTCAGGAGGACTGGCTTGGCAGAGGTGGGGCTGCAGGCCTGGGGGGTGGTGAACAAGGCAGGCAGAGGAGAGGTGGAGGCAGAAGCAGGAAGTGGAGCCCAAAGCTGACCTGGGTTGGGTGGGGACCAACAAGTGGACAGAGGTGTGGATAGGGTGAGGCTGAGATGCGGGCAAGGTGGGGCCAGCTTGGTGGGCGGGCTGGGTGTCCCCATGAACAAGGAAGTGGGGCAGGGCGCCAGGCTGAGAGCCCTCAGGATCCAAGCAGTGGTGGTAACGACCCCAGGATTGACAACAGTGGGGCCTTCAACCCTGGAAGTAATTTCCTTGAAACCCAAGGGCAACACAGAAGTAGAGTGCCAGGACTGGGGCGAGGGGCATTGCTCAATGCCCAACACCTCCCCGCCAATGCACACAGGCCACCCACCCCACAGGTCCCACAGGGACCTCTTCCCCTTTTAGAAAAAAGGAGAAGCTGCACTGGGATTCAGGTTTGGGGGGCAGGGGAGAATGTTCCTTTTCAAGCGAAAGGGCTAGACAGAAGTGGGTCAAGGGTCTACAGGGTTTTGTCCTGGGGGGAGGGTGGGAGAGCCAGAAAACATCCTGTTTGTTGTGTCTGAGACCCCTGCCAGGACAAGGCCCAGAGCAGCGTGTCCTTGGGAGGACAGTCAAGGGCACGGCGTTGGGGAAAACAGCACACAGGCATGCAGAGGGCCTGCACATGGCCCTGTGTATGGCCCGGCTGGAATTATAATTATTTGGAGGGAGGATGTTGCTCATTGTCAGGAGCAGATCCTTTCAGACACCTGGGTCATTGTCGGAGACCGGGGAAAGTGGGTGGGGAGGAAGGCCCCTGGCTCCAGGGTGGCAGGGAACATGTGAGACAGGAAAACGACCCAGGCCCTGGGCCAGGCAGGAACCACCCAGTCACCGTGCTGCTCAGGGGCCCAGCGCCCTCCGCCCCCCACCACTGGGTGCAGAGGCAGGGGTTGCAAGAGGAAGAATGCTGTGAACCCGGAAAATTCCGGGTCTCAGGATTAAAACTCTGGCCTGGGCAGCAAGATCCCTGGGCCCAGTGCCCACTTAGCTGCGCCCTTGCTATGTGCCCTTGGGCAGGTCCCCCCTCCTCTGGGTCTCCCCTTCTTCATCTTAACCTGAGAGATGCCCCAAGTTCCCAGGGCCCCTGCAGCTCTGAAGTCCTGTGGGCTTATGACCACTTATTCTGTGTTAGGTACTTGCTAAGAACGTTCTTTCTTTCTTTTTTATTTTTTTGAGACAGCAGCTCACTTTGTTTCCTGGGCTGGAGTGCAATGGCGTGATCATAGCTCACTGCAGCTCAAATTCCTGGGCTCAAGTGATCCTCCTACCTCAGCCTTCCGAGT